GGTAACACTCAAAAGTTTGGTAGGGGCCTTTGGCGCCATTGCTCAGAGCGCCCAGCCTTCTAAAGTGGAATGCTGATTTCATTTTTAAGAAATCACTAAATGGTTCTTTTTAATGCCTGAGGTTCTAATTAACCAAGCATGGTCCAAACAACATATAGCATAAAAGTTTATAGTGTAAAATAACTTGTCACGTTTACCTTCCCGCCTTACTACGTATTTACATAATAATTAAAAAGTACAATAATGCTGTGGCGAATGTTTCGATGTAAAAAACAGTATCGTTGGGCTCTGATAACGAAAAAGTGGATACATATTATTCCTATGTACAGTACAGTGTTTTCTCTAACACTTTGTGCAGTCACAATTGACGTTTTGTAGTTTCTTGATACCGATAAATTTTTTGACAGCAAAACCGTCTATTTGTCTATCAGTACGGATTCGGTAAACGCTACCGGCTAAATCGTTCAGAAATTTTTTTACAACATTGATATTTTCGGTTCGGTCTAATCGAATTAAATGCTCTGTAAGTTTGAAACGTAAATTTTCATTTTTGGGGGTACTTTACATAAAGTAGTACGTATGAGTAGATTATTTACTAACGCTTCTAGGTTGTCATCCATTAGCGCTAAAGAGAATTGTCGGGGTTTTTCGCAGTCACTAGTGCTTCTGTGGGAACTCTTCCTAGCAATGGGCTATCTCATGCTCTAGGAACACCATGGCAATTGATTTGTGATGCTGAACTTGTCAACTGCTAAAGTCCCGTAAATGTGCGTGTTTTTTATTCGGGACTTGGCGGTGATCTTCCCTTGCTAGATGGTGAGATCCTGCGCCGACCTACCGTCGGCTAGCGTTTTTTTCAACCACGTAGGTTCCACCATCGGGGCACCGCCCCAGCCGAGACAAGATATAAGCTCCCGACCTGTTTCTCGACATGTGTGGTAATTTAATGCATATTAGTATAAGTGTGTGTTCGTAAGGGTGAGAATAGGATAAGAAAGAAGAAGGAAAGATCGCGCGCCGCCCGTGTCCCGTTAGTTAGGGCACTACTTCTGCATTCGCCTGGTGTTGATCGGAGAAACCACGGAAACATAGCTATCAGAGCAGCCTGCCGCTAGGGGTCCCTTCCTCTCAGTGACAGTTTGAACTAGCTATCTAGCTAGTGTCGGAAATCGAACATCACGTCGAGGTAGCTCTTAATCCCATCCTGGTTACAATTGTAACTATTTTTTGTTACATTTTTACAACCGTAGTAATTATATCTCTGTTTTATTTCATTGCGTGCTTTAATTATGTTACTCATCGTTAAAACTACTTTATAAATAGGACTGCCTTCATTGTCTTTAGGAAAGGAAGCATGGGAAAGGTTGTGGTATTGTCACTATTCATAAGCTTTCTGATATGTTACGGGAATATTTTATAACACATTGAAAAATTTCAGTAAACAATTAAAATCGATAGACAAGTTTGTAAATATTTCTGCTATGTAGCTTGTTATAAAGTATTAGAGGCTATTCTGAATATTAGAAACGAAAATATATGACTTTGAATGTATAATATATAATAATAATAATAATAATAATAATAATAATAATAATAATAATAATAATCATAATAATAATCATAATAATAATCATAATAATAATCATAATAATAATCATAATAATGATAATAATCGTAAAACATTGGGTTCATTTTGTATTCTCTAATACTAAAAATCTAACTGTCTGTATCACTTGTATGAATAAATTTGCCACTCAGTGCCCAGACCTTGTGAATCAGTCGAATTACAGCATTGAATAAAGTTGGTTAGACTCCAACCACAGAAGGGATCCATCGAATCGAGGAGTAGTGTCCAAACGACGAAGCCACAGCACGACTCGGCAGTATGTGAAGTCGACACCTGACGATACAGTTGTTGCAATTAGCGGTTGAATTGGGAAAGTTGCTCACGCGTAGTTTTCACTGAAGATGACGAACGAGTCTAGTTACGCTAGAACGCGTTCGAAGTTAAGTAGCACTGCTACATTGAGTTATCATATAGACGTAAAATGTATTTGCATGAATCTGTGATGCCAATGTTCTGAAGGTGACTTTATAACTGTTGTTAAAAGTTTTCACAAATTGTAGATACGTGTGGATAAGTTGCAAGCATGCTAAGTAAAACTTAGCTTGTTCTGTTGTGCACCCTGTACCTATGTGGAAGTTGGGTGTTCCTCAAATTAAAGTGATTCAGTTTATCCAGTGTAATTACTCTATATTTTTCCTTTCTCCCGTGGAAACTTGCAGGAGGCAAAATATAATTATGTAGTCCCGTCATTTTAAACAAAAAACTTCTATTAGTGGGAAAGTAAAATCTGTTTAAGTGAGACTATTTCACCATCCAGATTTTTCTGAGTATTAGCTAACGTAGGACTCGAAATTCTTCGGTTTCATCTAAAGAATGAATTTTCCAAAATTGACATAAAATTTCTTGCAAAAGCACTGGATTTTTGTGTAACATTCACGTTTGTAACAGAGAGAAATATAGTTCGATTAATTATTGTTTCGGTTAATTATTATTGCATAGTGCACGTTTTTAACCGCGAGAGATAACGGTGTTTTCCCCCGCTAGATGGTAAAGTCCGGCGGCGACCTAAATGATATATGGTTCGAATCAGCATAAGTGAATACCTCTATAAGTGAGTCGATCATTATTTGAACGTGAAAATGAGAAATTGAATATGAGTGACAACTCTTTAAGTGGAAATAAAATACATCTTATTTTATATCCCACTTAGCCATGTTTGAATGAATAACTGTTTAAATTACTGTTGATAAATCACAGAAGAGATACTTACATACATTGTTGTGACTACAATATATTGTTTAAATATTTTCTACTGACATTGATTTTATTTGTCAGTATGGTTTGTAGAAACGTACGTTTCACTTCACAAGGTATTATGGGTTAGAATTTGAAACTAAGCTACTTCAGTAGCAGTAGTTCCTATTTAGGTATGAGAATGAATTTCAGTTAAATCACGAAGAAAATTTATGCTGGAATTTCTGGTTTCTACCTTCAACATTTTTTCTTCTACAGCTTTCCAATCACATCTGGCTTAAACTTTTCACTTTATCTCATGTCCGTAATATAAAGAATGTTATATAATCCTACAGAATATCTATATTTTTTTGTAATAAGCATTTTGGAAGAATCTTTGAACGCAATTTCAAAGAATCTTTGAACGCAAAGCTTGCGAGCTCCTGAAATAAGTCACTTACACATCTGCAGGTAAATTGTTTCAGTCAACTACAGTGGTTCTCATTAATATTCGGACTGCTACAATTACAGAAGGCGTTTCTTGTTTGAATGTAAATTTTCGCACATGCGCGGGCGCTACATGTGAGGAAACGCAAAGGAATTGTGTCTTTATTATTAGGAAACATATTAATGCAAACAAAATGTTTCTGATGCACAATATACGTTTCATAAACACGTATTTATGTGTGAATATGCAATAATACAAAGTCACATCAATATTCGGACACGTAATGTAAAATGCATATTAGCCCCTCGCCACTCTCCAAGATAGCGCGATAAGCGCACCATCGTCTGCTCAAAACAAGCGAAACTATGCAGTCGCTGTAAATATTTATACCTGGAAACACCTCTTGCAATGGGGCGCAAGGGAAAGAACTGGACGTGTGAGCAGAGGCAGCTTGTGGTTTTCCAACACGCAAATGGACGGCCTGCAGGGAGATCGCAAATCTTTTACTCATGAGCAAGAACACGGTGCACCATAACATTTAAAAATTTGAGAAAGAAGACAGAATTGAATCTAAACCGTAATAAGGGCAACGTAAGAAGATCCGCAAAAGAGAGCAGCGTGCAATTTTGAGGAAAGTACGAGAAAAACCGAAGGTGAGAGCCGTCCGGCTGGCAGCGGAACTGCGCGAAGCGTCAGGGACATCTGTGCACCCCGAAACAGTGCACGGAGTAATTAGGAATGCCGGATATTCTGACCTCAATCCAATCGAGAATTTGTCATGAATCGGAATGTACAGTCATGAGAATCCCAATTACGTCAAAGTCTTATCTGCAAGCGAGAATAAAGGAAGAATGGACATAAATTGGACGGCAGTGCCAGAACGGGATTATTGGTTCAATGCTATAGCGATTGCAGCAAGTTATTGACAATAATGGTTATGCAACGTGTCCGAATATTACTGTAACTAACGAATGCAGACAATTTTCTTTTTTTCTTTTTTATTGAATGCATCAAGGCATTCGGCGTTTTTCTTTTGTTTATACTATTGTCCTTTAATAAAGGAACAATTATGTTTCACTTTCTTTCTTATATTTCGGCCATTGTATCATCATGCAAAGATGATTTTTCCTATACCCGTTACTTGTTTTCTGCATTTTATTGTCTGTGCATGTGTGCTTGTGTGTGTGTGTGTGTGTGTGTGTGTGAGAGAGAGAGAGAGAGAGAGAGAGAGAGAGGGGGAGAGAGAGGGAGAGAGAGGGAGAGAGAGACAGAAAAAGAGAGAAAGAAAGTGTTAGTGAGTGTGCGGGGGGGGGCGGTCGACCCTACTTACGTAACATGGTATTTCACGTCTTTTATTGGTAGCTTTCCATGCCGTTTGTTCAGTGTATGCCTTGAAAAAGGGCTTACAACTGTACTCCAACGAAGGATTCGCAATTGACATTTGCTTCATTTTGTCACAGTTTCCTCTTTGTTGACTTTAATAAATCGAATTTATAAAAATGTGTTATTTGATGTGTTGGAAGTGGAGCGGGCATAATGAATTGAAAAGGCCTCCACGGACATGAACAATTCGAAAGGCCCGCGAGGGTATAAAGCGCATCATGTTTAGGTTTATGTCCATAAACGTACAGTAATGAATTAGTAAACCATATAGTATTATGTAGCAAAAAGCATATACTTTAGTTGCGAAGGATAAAATATGCAAATACAGTGAAATTGGCCCTCTACTTATTAACAATCCTATTTTTTCAGATGCTTCTGAAGTCTACGCAAATGGTCACTTGTATATGCATCTGTGTATTGGCCGCAATGACGTCATCTGCTGGTGCCTCAAACAATACGTCTCCGCCCCCACCCTTCCGCCACTGCCTCCCGGCAAAGGGAAAATTCTTCAATGGCGCAGACGACGCCGACAATCCGTGCGGGATCGACGTTGTAGCCCAGAACAAGCCGCCACGCCTCTTAGCGACCCTGCCGACTCTGGACGGCGTCCTTCACTTCACCGCGTGGTTCGCGGCGGCGTCGGCTGCTCTGTTCGCAGCGACAAACGTCAGTTCGCGAGACGTTCAGCAGGCCCTCCAGCTTTTCCATTGGATTCTTTCCTTCGATGGCGGAGCGCGAAGTCTTGCAAGCTATCGCGTAGCGAGGAAGATTGAGTGCGGTTGGCGATCTTCCCATTATCGTAATGGTACTTCAAGTCAAAAGGAGGTTGCTGCTCCGTGAGATTTCGTTTTCCAGTAAGGACTGATTATTGTCAAGGGAGAATATTCACTGTTCCTAGAACTTTTTACTTACCCCACGTGCTTAAGCGGTTTTTTCAGCAAATTATAATGAACATTTTTATTTTCAATGTCGACAGATTTTTGTTAATTATTTTTTGCGTTGTCTAATTATATTGTCGTATTTCTATAAAATGTTGTATATGTCGTATTTCTATAAAATGTTAGTGTGAGGAAAGCAAATTAAAGAGCTTTGTATGAGATATTCTTTTTGTTCTGGTCTTTACATAAAGAGCTAGCATGATTCAAACATTTATTTCATTACATCACACAATTCAACCAACGGCATACCTACGTCTGCGGGTTCAATGACTACTAGAAAAGATTTGCGAGCAATGAATGCACTTCAGTAGGTTTCTGGATACCCAATAAAAAAGTGATTGTCCATTCATTAATGTGAAAATTGTAAGCGGGTTTTTACAAGAAAGGACGACGATTTTGGAAGTTTTGGAAGTGCAATGTTTTGCCCATTTTAAAGCCTGCAAAACAACAAATAGAGGAGATAGCTATGAAAACCTTAGGTGTCCAAACTCCAATTTTGTGAGATAGCAGTTTCCAAGTCTTTAACATACTTTCTCCGAAAGTGTTCAGAATTTCATGTTGACAGTGAATGAAATAAATTGTTTTATCTAATGAATAATGTCCAAAATATTTCTTGCAATTTATTACCGATGATTTGTAAATCAGAAATATAAATAAAGAAAATCACAAGTTCATCAAAGTAAGTCATATGTAATATGTTGCATGGGTATTTACAAACCTAAAGCACTTTCTTTAAAGAAGTCAGCAATACTTTTAAGTTATCTTTCTAATTATGTTTGTATTTTTCATATATAATACGTAATAATAATGCCAATTTTATTCATATATAATTTGTATTATAATTTGATATATAGTGCGACCTCTCGCCCTCGCTCTGACTCCAACCCGGCTCGCGAGAAGGCAGCATCACATGTCAACCGTAAGGGTTTCTTGGAAACGTACGGTTATTTACCACAAATTGAGAGTGAAGTATCCCTTTGATGTTTGAAGTTCAACTTAATATCCTGACCACAATTGAAATTATTACTTGACTAAAGTAGTAATCTCCAGGAAATAAAATTGGATGGAGGTCTAAAAGTGCGAACAAATACACCCAAATTCAGACCACACACAATTTTAACATCCAAAATCACACTGTGTTCTTAATCAAAAAGCAATACAGCCATAACACATACATAATACAATACTTTATTTATTGATTTATTTATGAGCGTCAAAAACAGTTGAAAACTATATGGAGAAAATCGTATTCTGTCCGTGTCGTCTTAAATTCTGAGATCCCAACACTACTTCATATACTAGTTCAGTGCTGTCCGACTTATGGGCCACATATCAAACTCTAGTTAAGCCGCGGGCCGCAACGTAATTTACGATTACTCGTACCGTACCTACTGAAATTACTCGGAAACAGATTATATATATATATATATATATATATATATATATATATATATATATATATACGACTTTTTTACCATACGTAATGATTAATGAACATACGAGAAAATTAATATATAATTAAATAAATCTAAGATGAATTGTGCAATTGTTCAGTGAGAAGATTGACGGCATTCAGCTTCATTCACTAACAAATTTATGCTCACTTTCAGCCCGTTGTAGCCAGTCTTATTATGTGACTAAGTGTAGAATAAGTGAAGTCCTTCAATTTTTATTTTTATTAAAATTCATAGTTAAAAAAATTTCACAAATGTATGTGCTGTCAAACATGGATGACATCCACAGCCTAACGTCTCGCAGGTTTGGAGGTCTTTCTTCATGCAAGAGTTTGAAAAAATCAGTTCCCTTTTCTTGCATTGTCTGAAAGAAAGGATCCTCTTGCAGATCACATAGTTACAGTTAAATGCGAGGTTCTTGCTCTTTAATGTTAACACCAAGAGGATTCTTAAACATACCAATGTTTGTTTCTAAATCCTTAATTTCATTAAATCTACTTCCAAACTCTTCAATAATTGTTTGTATATCTAAAGAGCACTCAGAAAACTGTATAACTAGATTCTGACTATCAATTCTGTCACTATTTGATTGCAGCTAGGGAAATGCGACATTTCTTTTTGTAAGGAATTGTTGAAAATTCTCAACTTAGTTTTCAAACCATTTACTACTCCCACAATGTCTGATATCAACTTTTTTCTTCCCTGAAGGAATAAATTGAAGTTGTTGAGGTGGTTTGTTAAGTCCGTAAGAAATGGTTTTTCAAAAATTCTATTTACATTCTTCTTTGAATTTTGTAATGTCAGACTTAACATGTGCATCCAAGAATGTGGAAATATCCTCTCTAATGGGAAAAACTCTAAAGATACTTTCCGGCACTGAAACATTTCAAATTGTTGAACAAAAGAAGGTCCCCATATTCGGAATTTATTTCTTCAAAGTACTGTTTTAGTTGTCTGTGTTAAAAAGAATTTTGCCCACAGTGAACAATTTTAATTCTAGAGTCTATCAGCTATCTCTACAATATACGACCTTCAGTAGACCACTAATTTTGAGGGTAGTTTCACATTTATATTTACAGTGGTGTAATGACATAAATGCATAACGAATAACTTAAACATTTTTTTATGCAATAAAATATTTCAAAGCAGTCGCCACAAAAAGATCCGCCGGGCCGCCAGATGGAAAGCCCTGGCATAAACCATACGTAGGTTTTTTCCAAAGTGGATATTCCCCGGTCGATCTCGCTCGACATGAGGCGCTGCAATTTTGAAAAATCTTCTTCAAAATTTGGGGGTACTTTACACCAAGCCCCCGGACAATTTCAAAATTTTCTCAAAAAACGGCTCCAATTTAAAAAAAGTTCTTATAAAAAAACTCAACCGGTTTTCGTGAAAACTATCTCGAAATTCCGCACTTTCAGAAAATCTAAAATGCCCTTTTCTCTAAAACGGTTTCAACTTTTTCTTTAAACTTTACGAACGTATGGTGCTAATTGCACTCTTTATTATGACGTAAAGTTCTTTTTCTTTTTTCAGAATTGAAATTTATTTTAAATACTCTCACACCGTTAATATGCACACTTCTAACAATTAGTAAACACTATTGTATTTGTGAGTTAAAGTGCTTCAAATGCCTTTTAATAAATGTTTCGATGAAATTCTGTGAAATAGAGCTTCGAATTTCGAATTTACAGTAGCACTTAAACGTTATTTTGTAAAAACGGTTGCAAAATTTTCAAAAAAAATTGCAATTTAGGACTACATTTTACTGTTCTTTAATGTTCTTAAAATAATAATTCGTTTCTATTACTAGGAAGCCGACAAATTAAGAAAACTTCAATAAAATGTATTTAGATGGCAGCCGGCAAGACTATTTGGAACGTTCGTACAGCAAATCGAGACCAAAGGAAATAAAAAACTAATACAGGAAAGTCTGTGCCATTCAGAAGCACCACTAATTAATATTGCCTTTATTTTAGGCAAAATATCGTGAAAAAATTAATGTTTTGAACTCATTGTTCTTGATCATCTTTAAAGACCTAATTTTGCAGAACCAACACACAGTGGTTGATTTCCAGAATCTAGCGGTATTTAAATCAAAAATGCATATGTTCGAAATAAAGGGAAGTCTACTGGGCGGGTTGCTAATAGTCTTGTCAGACCTGTACCAGTCCCCATAAGTGGAACACTAATTTCTCAAAAGAATGTGGGGTATGATCAGCGAGCGCTTCCGAATCGCGCGCGAGGCCGTGCCTCAGTCCCGCTTTGACGGGCTTGGTGTTATGGCCCACTGCCACTGAACTGTTAAGGATAACTTGATTGTTCGATATGGATGAGAATCCGGAAGGTATGATCTTTAGAATGCACTAACGTTTAATAGAAAATTTTACATTTTACATTTTTGGTTGCATTTTATATGCGAAAGTATGCCCATGTAAACTGAGCTCTATAGAGTTGCCAGCAATTGCCAAGAATGCTCTTTGCATGATTGAATTCTCTAAACCTTCTTAAACAAAATGGTGGAAAACATTTTTGCCCGAATTTGCCCCTTTCCGAAAAAATCGATTTTTTCAGATGCTTGTACAGTCACTCGACGTGAGCTATTCAAGCTCTTGTGTGATAGTAAACTGTCTCATGCAACAGATTTATGGAATAGAAAAATGCTAATGCAGTTAGTTTTCCCGTAATGTTCTAGGAAGTATTCCAGAGGTTAAGTGAGAAGGTACGGAGATTCACCTGCCAAATTGCTGACAAATAGAAGGCTTGTAACAGAATGGTAGACAGGTTCGCGGCAAAGAACCCAGCATGACTGGGCGACGAAATGTTGTGTATCAAGGAAGAAGTGAAGAAAACGACGAACGGTAGACAGAAAAATAATTATTTTCATTTTTGAAGAGAACAAAAAGGGGAAAAGTACAGCGAGATTTTAAAGACCCATTAAATACGAATTTTTGAAGGTGATGCCATGAAGAACAAATGCAGAAATAGCTCGTTTACAAGAAAACATTAAGAAACTTCAAGCAAAAAAATTGAATATTGGGATGCAGATATCTCTGTATATAACAAATTATTGAAATGTATGATGGAAAAGTGTGTAATTCACTTAAGCGAATGCCTCCTCTCAGACGTTCTTTATATATGATGCATTTCCAAAGCAAATGAAAAATCTGAAACAAATTATTAAAAAGCCTTGGCGTAAGGTAGCTTTTATGTTGGACTTTCACGCTCAAATTCGCTTCTTTGTGTCCATTCTTCATATATCTTACAGACTATATTTTATAAAATAGTGGGTTCGTGGATATCAAGAAAAGATTCTGGAAGATCCCAGGAAAACAAAATAATTGTCAAATTTCGAAAGAAAATTTATCTCCTTATGGATATTCTAAAACAAGGAAGTGGTACATCGAACGATGGGAACACTCTTCGGCAATTTTTCCAAAATCTGGAACAGTATACTAACATCACTGATATAGATGGAAGTCTCACTCGCCGCTTCTCTGTTTTACAAGCATTGAGAAGCAGATATGATGAGAGCACGGAAGCTTTCAGAAAAAACGCATGTGAACGAGCAAACGTTTGTCAGTTTATA